GTCTTCGAGTTTTTGACGTAAGGCGTCGGGTCTGCTGGGACCGACGGTGGCTTCGTTGGTTCGGACAACCGAGCATGGCTCCCGACCGAGATTTAAGTAGACCGGCGAGTACCCGGTGGCGTCATTTGATGCAGTGTTGAATGCGAACTGCAGTTCGGGCAACGTTTCATCCCACATTTTTTGATTGCGCCCCACGTACTGCGCGATCATGGTTTTTACGGTCCGGTTTACCCGTTCGGTCGGATTGCAATGAGGGGCGTAAGCGGGGGTGAAACGATGCTTTATCCCGAAGGCGCTGAGGAGTCGCTCGACTTCCTTCGCCTTAAATTGAATGCCGTTGTCGCTTAATATCTCGGTCGGGCAGCCGTGTCGGAATATAATAGCTTCCGCGATGGTTCTCGCGACGGATTCGACAGTGGCGCGGCGGAGGGGCCGAATCTCGAGCCACTTTGTGAAGCGGTCCTGCATATTTAGGACCCACGTGTGTCCGCGGAGGGAGCGGGGTAGAGGCCCGATTAAGTCGAGCGTCATCTGTTGCCACGGACGGTCGAGTGCGGTTGCATGCATAGTTCCGGGCGGGTGTCGGGTCGGTACTTTATACGCGAGGCAGTTCTCGTAGGATCGCACGTACCGCGCGATATCGCGGTACATCCCCGGCCAATAGTAGTGGTACGCGATGCGAGTGATAGTCTTGACCACTCCTAGATGTCCGGCGGTCGAGGCGTCATGGAATTGGCGTAAAATGTCCCGCCGTTTTTCGGTCGGCACGCACTCTTTCCACTGCGTTTCGCGGGGCACGTCGTGGAAATCTAATGTGTGGAGTACGTGGCGGTATAATCGTCCGTCGCGGATCGTGAAATCCGGAAAACGGTCGGGATCGCACTCGGTCCCATGTGCGGCGGTATCATTGGCAGCGGGGATGTGATATGGCGGAGACGGCGGGTTGCCGAGATAACGCGTCGGCCACCCGATTCAACGCGCCTTTCCGGTATCGTATTTCGAACGCGTATTGTTGCAGCTCGAACATCCACCGTCCCAGCTGGCCGGACGGTGATTCGAGTTGCTGCAACCATTTCAACGCTTGGTGGTCGGTGATTACTGTGAAGCGGTAGCCTTCCAGATACCCGCGCATTTTCCGAATTCCCCAGACGACGGCGAGGCACTCTAGTTCGGTCGCGCTGTAATTTTTTTCGGCGCCGTTCAGTGTCCGACTCGCGTATGCGATGACGCGTTCCTCCTCCGGAAAATACTGCGTGAGTACAACCCCGAGGCCGATGGTACTTGCATCGGTTTGCAGAGTAAACGGCCGTTCGAAATCGGGGCAGGCCAGCACTGGGGCGGTCGTTAAATTATTTTTCAGCGCGTCAAAGGCACCTTGTTCCTCCTTCCCCCAGTTCCATCGCGTGTTTTTCCGCGTCAGCGCAGTTAGTGGTGCGGCGACGGTGGCAAAATTCTGGATAAACCGTCGGTACCAGGAGGCCCCGAGAAATTGTCGGATGTGTTTCACGGTTTGTGGAATAGGCCAATCGGCGATCGCGGTAGTTTTCCCGGGGTCGGTTTTTATTCCGTCGCGATTCACGATATGTCCGAGATAACGTAACTTCGGTACGCAGAATCGGCACTTATCGCGATTTATGCGGAGTCGGGCTGCGCGTAGTCGGCGGAAGACTTCGCGCAGATGCTGCAGGTGTTCGGCAAATGTCCGGCTGGCAACGATGATGTCGTCCAGATAAGCGAACGCGTGGGGCTCTAATTCGGGCCCGATTACGCGGTCGAGCAATCGCTGGAACGTTGCCGGAGCTGAATGTAAGCCGAAAGGCATGACTCGAAAGTGCATTAGCCCTCAACCTGGTACGGTAAATGCGGTGTCGGTCTGGGGGCGAGGGATACCTGCCAATAACCGTTCTTCAGGTCGATGGTAGACAGGTACCTCGCTCCGCGCAGTTTATCCAGCGTGGCGGAAATTTGTGACAATGGATAGGCGTCACGCTCGGTAACGGAGTTTACTTTGCGAAAATCGATGCAGAATCGGTTTTTTCCGTCTTTTTTTCGAACCACAACGATTGGAGAGCTCCACGCGCTCGTTGATGGTTCAATTATGCCGTCCTGCAGCATTTGATTGACCTCCGCGTCAATGATCGCCTGCATTGCCGGATTCTGCGGTCGGTATCTTTGTTTAATCGGCGCGGGATCGATGAGCTTAATGCGGTGTTCGGTTAGTTCGGTCGGTCCATGGACGTGGTCAAATTTCCCTACTTCCTCCTCGAGGAACATTCGGAGTTGTTCGTCCTCGGAGATCGGACAGCTCTGCTTGGTCGGCGTTGTTTTGTACGTATGCGAGTACGGCGGCGGTGGTCGTAAAATAATTCCCGATCCAGCCCATACGTCCATCCCGATAATCATGGCGTTGTCGAGTTGCGGCAGGATGCGGAAGGTGTGCCATGTGACGCGATGGGATAGATTTAGCGGTACGCGAATAGTGCCAGTGGTGCTGACCTGCGTCCCGTCCGCGAGTCGCACCTGACCGTGTTCGGCGGTCGGCATGAAGCGGAGTTGTTCTAGAGAACGCGCGGTCTTTTGATCGATAAACGACAGCTCGGATCCGGTGTCGATCATCGCCTTGATCGGTCGATCGTGCACGTATACGGTCAGGTGCGGCCGCGGAGTGTAATTTACTGGGATCGAAACGCGACCGCGATATTCTCGATCCTGTTGGCGTTTTCCGGCGGGTGGCAATCGCGGGTGAATACCCCTTCTTTTCCACATTGAGAGCAGAATCGAACGGGTGGTCGTCGGCATTCGAAGCGTGTATGCCCGCGTTGTCGGCATCGCCAACAGTGATCGCGAGGGTTATACGCGGTTGCAACCGTGCGGTTAGCTTTCGCGGTGACTTCCCCCCGATGTTCGGTAGCTCGTAGCGTCTGTCGCTGTTTTTGGATCCCCTCGTATTCGGTCGCTCGTGCCTGCAGGACGCGGGGGTTCGCGGCATCCTCCCGACGGATGTAGATTTTATAATCCGGGTGGAGATTGGCGAAAAGCAGATCGGTCTGCGCCCGCTCTCTGAAATTCCCTGCGGGACGCATGAGCGTTTGTAGGGCTGTGGCGTACTGTGCGTACGTTTCGCCGGGCTTCTGGGTGCGGGAGTAGATTTCACGCAGTGCGGCGGTTTTTTCCGGTTGCGGACAAAATTGCGTGACGAAATCTTGCCGGAACGTTTCCCACGCGGGCCAGTATTGGCGATTGTTCCGGTGCCATAACATCGCGTCCCCTCGTAATAATGCGGGTATACCGGTCAACAATTGTTGTTCGGTAAAATCGCACGTTTCGCCAAGTTCCTCGATCCGCTCCAGAAACCCGATCGCGTCCGTCGAAAAAAACAGCCCCATTTACGCATTTGCCCCATGATTTCGGCCGGCCGTGGCAACTCAGGTATACGGATCGGAAATTCGGGGGGTACGGAATATACGGGTGAAGCAAGGGGTGTCAGCGCGGGTGGCTCGAGAGACGTTCCCGGATGATCGCGCGTGCATCTGCGCAGGCGCTGTCGTAGCGCTTCGACGGGCCCGGCGGTATTTTGCTGGATTTGTCCGAGCCGTTCCTGCAGCTCGGCCTTCGTTAACCGGTCTATCCCGTCATCGGCCATTTCGCTCTTGTTTCCTGTCTCCGCGGTCTTACTATCTTCCGGTCCCTGTTCGGGCGCCATAAAACGGTCTCGCTTTCCCGCGCGGAGAGCGGTCAGTCGGTTACCAGGAGGAGAAGCGAGGACGTTCGAGACAGAAAGGTGTGATTAAATTGTTAGGCGATAATTATAACAAATAACGATGTTTATTTGACTAATAGTGCGATGGAATGCACCGAATCTTCGCGTTAATGTTCGTGGCCGTGGACGGGCGAGACGGCGATCGGCGCGCGGATAGCGCGTGAATATAAAATAAGATATCGCTCGGGCGGTCGGCGCAATACTGATCGCGGCGCGCAGTTCGGTGGCGCGGGGCGCGCGCGGCGGCGGCGGTGTCGCACGTGTTCGTCGCGGGCCTTTAAATCGGCGTGGATTTAAACGTGCACGCGTGTCGCGGGTGTTGTCGCGAGAGTGGATATTTCGCGAGGTCGGCGGATCGTTGAGATCGGAGAACGTGCCGAGAGTGCTCGGCTGACGGAGGGTGCGCCCCTCGTCTGTCTGTCTGAATGCCGAGTGAACTCGGCCAGCCGGGGAGGGCCCCAGCTGTGTGCGGAGAAGAAAGTGGCGGTGCCGAGTGTACTCGGCCGACCAGGGTGTATCCTGGTGCTCGAAGAGATCGTATCGGGGAGAACCCCGATACTCGGCGGTGAAATCTCGGGAACGGCGGAGTCGGGTCGAGCGAACTCGACGCGCTGGGGAGACCCCAGCAACTCTCGGCTTGCCGTGCGAGCTACGGAGACGGCTTTCGGCCAGGCCAAGCGAACTTGGCGCGTTGGGGAGAACTCCAACAAATCTCAGGCTTGCTACCGGTTATGGATGCTCGCTTCCTTGAGACGGGCTCTCGTAAAACGAGTTAGGAACAGGAGTAAACAAGGAGTGATTTCCTGTGGAGAGCGATGCCTTTTTATATCTGAGATCGACCTCGGTATTTTCGGTCGGATCGGTCGGATTGGTCGATCTCGGGGTTAGCATCCCTCTCCCCGGGAGCGGGAAAAAAGGATCGGGGGATGATTGGTTTTTTGGGTAGGGAAGGAATTCGGTGGGAAGGTAGCGGCGCGGTGCGGAGTGGTTGCGCGCTTGTGGACGCGGTCGTGGCGCGGTGCGGGACGCTCGCTCGGTTGTGTGGCGCGGCGTCGGTGCGGCGCGGGACGCTTTCGGTGGTACGGTGCGTGGCGCGGTGCGGGGTGCGTTCGCGCTTGTTGACGCGACGCTTGGCGCGGTGCGGGGAAATACCACGAAAACATACGTGTTTTCGTGGTATTCTCCGACGCTTTCGGAGTTCGCGTATAAAAGTATTAAAAAGAAGGCATTTCTGCCTCTTTGCGGCCACTGCCGCACTCCGCCTGATGTTCGGCGGTCCCCGACGGATCGATCGGGGGAGATCCGGAGGAGGACTGGAGCGGAAGGATGCGCTCCGTTACACAACTAATACCTAACCAAACATCCATGAAAAGTACCATGATTTGCATGGCAGATAGCGCGCTAGTCTTAGACACCTGAGGACCTAGGTTCGAATCTCACCGCGGCCAACATCTTTTTCCGTCATCAAATTCAACACATCGTAGACAACGCTCTTCACCAGCGCCACAAATCATTCGCATCTATGTCATTTGACAGCTGACAGTTCTAGCTTCATTCTAAAAAAAAAAATTGAGCGATTTAGTCGAGTTTTGGAGATTTTATAACATGTTGAAGATGGAAGACCAAACTGTGCATTTTCGCCATATATTACTGTTTTACTTCCGTAAAGGGAAGAACGCGCATCAAGCTTGTGAAAAATTGTGTAAAGTTTATAGTGACAATGCTCTACAAGAACGTCAGTGCCAACGATAGTTCACGAAATTCCATGCTGTGATTTTGATCTTAATGACGCTCCTCGGTCAGGGAGGCCTACCGAGGTTGATGACGACAAAATAAAAGCATTGATCAAGTCAAACTCACGTTACACGACACGAGAGATTGCACAAACATTGAACATCCATTATTCAAGCATTCACGACCACCTGAAGAAACTGGGATACGTAAACTCGATATTTAAGTTTCTCATGAATTCAAAGAAGTTCATTTGATGGCGCGTATAAATATCTGCGATATGCTCATTAAACGTGAGAAAAACGATCCTTTTTTGAAGCGACTGGTGATGAGAAGTGGATTGTTTACAACAATGTGGTGCGCAAACGGTCTTGATCCTGACGTGATGATTCGCTTCAAACGATAAAAGCAAATTCATCAGAAGGTTATGCTCTCAGTGTGATGATATTTTAAAGGTGTTGTATTTTTCAAGCTCCTACCAAGGAATTAAACAATCAATTCGAATGTGTACTGTCGGCAATTGAACAGTTTGAACAAATCCATCATCCAAAAACGTCCAGAGCTCGTTAATTAATTTAATTATAAAGGAGTTGTGTTCCATCGACAACGCGAGACCACACACAAGTTTGACCACCCATCAAAAATTATTGAAGCTTGGATGGGATGTGTTGTCACACCCACCATACTCGCCTGACCTTGCGCCGTCAAACTTCCACTTGTTTCGCTCTCTTCAAAATTTCTTGCATGGTATAACATTTAATTCAGATGAGGCTAAATCAGCACCTTGTTTAATTTTTCGCCGATAAAAACAGGTCCTTCTATGAACGAGGAATTATGAAACTCACTGAAAGATGGCAAAAGGTTATCGAACAAAATATATCATTGATTGATCTTTGTTCTTTATAAATAAATAACCTTTGAAAAACAGAAAAAATATGTCATAACTTTTCCGACAATCCAATAAATGTAAATTAAAAACAGACTAGATTCGTACGGAGTTTTACAAAAAATTTTGCACTCTCGATGATTCTTAAATCTATAATTTAAATTAGCACTTAATAATTTAAGCATGCATATCTCAAGCGATATCTCCGATTATAAAAAATATATTAAAGAATTATTTATCTATATCTCTTATGTATCTCTTACCTATTATATTCAGTGCAAATGGCAATACTTTTATTCCATAGATTCTGATATCAAATTCGATCTACTTTGATATTTCTCATATAATTTATAAGAAATGATTTTATTGTAGTCATTTATCTAATCATAAGAAAGGATAATCATATATTAGTGTAATATCTAAAAAAAAATGTGAATTCAGAAAATTGTATGCAAAATAAGATATGCACGTATATTCATGTATATGTATGTATTCAGACAAAAATAATCGAAAAATTTGATAAAAAAAACTACATCAACTTTTTCTTCATGCTTCTCTTATTCTAATTAAAAATGTGTTTTATGTCTATGCCACGTCCACTTTTCAACATTGTTAATAAATCACTAATATATGTTCATATGCTAAAATTATATAATATATTCGATAGAGTTATAATATACACTTGACATCAAATTATAATAAATTATTGGATGTAAAAATTATATATTTTACAGATGTATCAAAATCGATTAACATAAAATAGATAGCAAATATTTAATTTCAGAATCACTATTTTTCGATTTATTAATTGTGCTTAAAAATTATATTATTTATGTACAATTTTTTAATAGAAAAAAGAAAAGAAAGAAATGCAACAAACAGATAAATCTCATATGTATTAAAATTTTTGTTGTTGAAAAAATAGATTTAAAAAAATAAAATGCGCAAAAATATTTTTTGTTAATTTAACAAATGTTTTATATTTTTTAACAAAGCATCGTAGACATTCTAAGAATTTTTATTCATCAGGATTTAGATAAAATAATTATAGAGTATCAATCCTTGATAATAACAGTATAATTAAATGTATTTTGTATACTTAAATTATAGATTTGTATGTCTTACAAAGTCACCATAAAAAGTATTTGCTACTTAAAGTATAAATAATTATGTGATTTTGATATATTAAAATCTTTAATATACACTTTTAAGCATTGCCATTCTATTAATAAATATTTCTCTCTTACTCGTGCACTCATGCACGCACGTACGCACACGCGCACGCACGGGCGCGCACACGCATATGTGTGTAGAATTTTATTAAATGGAATGATGATATTTAACATATGCTATGGCTGCAAGATCTTTGCAAAATTCCTCCGTCACTACAGCGCATTCATATAAAATGTTCTCCTTTTTCCTAAAATACAAATATTAGAACATAAAACATACTATTTTATATTTTATATGTATAATAATATAAATTAATGTAATATAAATAATGTAAATATAATTTTGCAAATTAAAAATGATTAAAAATGATTTTAAAAATGATTTTAATGGATAAATATGAATATATTATAAGTATATATTATAATAATATATTAATAAATTATGAATCAAATAAAACTTATTATTTTAAAAAGGATGTTTAGAAATAAAATTTCTTTTAACAAAGTTTTAACTTGACAATTAATTACAAACATATTTAATATAAAAGAATAAAAGAAAAAATATTGATCCATCAATGATTGATTGATCAAATTTTCACTTACTCTTCTTGGGAACAGTAACTCAGTAGTCTCTGTCTCGTCTCCTTCAATATCATCTTATTCTCTGGTGACTTTGGTATCTCATTAACAAGTTGCTTGATAACCTTTTGTAAGCACAAGAACAAACTTTTTGTACCAGGAATTAAAGGTAGTAGAGGATTCAACAGAAACTCATGCAGGTACGGGTGTGGGAGTAGCGCCAATCTGGAAATCAATCCTGTGATCTCTAAATTGATCTCATATGTTTGCTTCGGCATATTGCTGATTTTGTCAAAGAGCATGCTCAGGAATGGTCCCATATAGAATCGACCTGAGCAATGATCGGCTTCTGGTCGCGAGTCGGAACTCGCAGAGTCGTCTACCATCACCGCCTCCAATGGCCATGCCATCAGACCACAATCGGAAAGTACTGAAGTATATTGCTGTTCCCAAGCTGGTATGTATTTTTCATAATTATTGACATCTGAGTCTGTTTGCAAATAATATGGAATCATTGATAGAAAACTGAAATAAAAGTTCATTTCATAGTAATATGTGTGTCATTTTCGCATTCTTATTTTTTATTTATCTGATTTTCTAAAGGCAAAGAGCGCCACACACCTTTATATTTAAGATTGAATAATTATATTTTTACTTATTAAAAATTATCTTTTTATTATTGTAGCATTCTTAATTAATTAATTATAGTCTCACCAATTAATAACTCGATGAATATTGCTTGGTGCCAAAGTCCGGCTATGATTCTGCTCATACGAAAGATCTAAAGATCCTTTCTTCTCCTTCTCCCTTTCGTCTTCCTCATCACTCCATGAAGCGATAGCACTATCGGCAGCGGTATTATCATAATACGCTCGCGTAGATAGATAAATCAATAAGAGACAGTGCAGTATGTGCTCATTTCTTTTGTCAATTGCCTCCTCAAACAATTTCAACGTTTCTACCACAAGATCGTTACTATCCGTAAAACAGTTCTCTATCAATCTGTGCAATACTGGCGATGTCCATACATTTGGTATTTCCGGATCTCTATTTTGACCGACCAACCAATAACTCATCTCTAATAAATTGTTACAATTTTAGAAATATATAGAATAAATCAATAATATGTATATTAAAAAATTTTTATATCGCATACCTGTGCACAATATGGAGGAAGTTGTTTCCTTCAAGCATTTGGCGACAAGAGTTGTAATAAGTACGACATGATGATCGGCCAGAGCAGGCGTCACTATTCTCTCAAAAAACATCACTCGAATAGTTCTTGCTAACGTTTCGGCAAGTTCCATCTGGGCTTCCCTAATCAGTTGGTCACAATAATCATACCACATGAAGAACGCTGCTACTTGCCGGCAACCAGGAAATTTCTTTTCCTGCGTCCATAATGGCGAATCGAGACCCCATGTGACATCTACGTTGTAAACATCTAAGTGATCCACGTGAGCTGGAATGGAATTGAACAAATTCTCCAGACGAGTTGACACAATCGACGGTAGCTTGCTCCTCGCCACTGTTTGTGCGAATGAAGTATCATCCAGAGAAGCTAGAACCATTATTCCTTCGCACGCTCGTATCCTCACGGTGTTGTCCTGCAAATGAAGAATAGAGAAAATACAATCAATTATTATGTAGCCACAGCTATGACTAATTAATCATTAGTTTTAATCATTAACGAAAAGAATATATTTTTTACCGCGCTATTTAGATAGCTCATTAAGGCGTCCAGCAAAAGACATTTGGACTTTTCCGGTATCTTTAGTGATTTTAAACTCTGATTATCACCCGTCACATAATTCGCATTGTCATAGAGATTGCAATCAGTATCTAATCGCAAGTCTCGCAAATTCTGTAAATGTTCATCGATTTTATTTTCTGAATAATCTCCATTTTTATCTCCCCACTGTTCGTTTTTCACATCCAATGAAGGTGAATCACAAACAGACTTTTGGGCCAGAGGGCTCGATGATACACTCTCTTCCCTCGAGGACACAGACTCGTTCGATCTCCTGGACAAATGTCCAGGATCTGATGCGATCGTCTTGAAAACATGATTTGAACGTAGCAATTTTCGATGTTCCTTGTCGAAGATATTTGGATTGATTAATGTGACCGCTTGGGTATTCAAGGGCTCAAACAAGAGATTGGAATTATTCCTTTTTCTAGTCGGGACATATGTCACTCTCTGGATTTCTGTTCTTTCATTATCTTTTTTAATAGAACTTTTGACTGTTTGTACAACTGCGTCATAGATAATATTAGTTATATGAGGATATTTGCACACCACGAAGCAGATTGTCAGCAGAAACTGCACCTATAAATCAAAATAATATTCCTTTAAAAGAGTAAATATTTTTGTCATTTAAATAGTCGCATCAGCATTTACTGCGTCAATATATTTATATATTCAAAAATTAAAATTTTTACATTTACCCAGAATCTGTTTACAACAATTTGAGAATTAATATATGTAATATGGACATGTAACAATACATAATAAGATGAGAAAGAAAAACAAAATATCTTGTTCCTTCTCAAAAGATCAGACATTCATTCATAGAAAACTTGCTATTTTTTGCTGTTTTTGCACTCGCTTTAGAAATTAAAGACTTTAAGTGACTTATAAACAATATTATTTTTTGCAATTGTAATGTTTTAGTAAAAATTGATTATTTCTCTTTCTCTTATACAATTATATGATTATATATATGTGTGTGTATATATACAGAGTGTTCGGAAAGTGAGTTATTTAGATTCCTAAATAACAGATAGAGATAATTGTATAAAATTTGGAGAACATTTATGGTATCAAAAAATCTATCTTTTGACATAAGAGGCAACAACCCCCCATCTCCGGGAACTCAGGGATAAGATATAAATCACAAATCTTAAATGGAATAATGGGTCAAATGATAGCTTGTTTGAAAAGCCTTTGAAAGACTTTTTCAATGAGCCTCTTTGCAACCCCCCACCTCCATGAAGCAGGGATGGGGGTGATCTAAAAATTTTAAGGTACAAAAAGATAAAGTGACAGCTTGTTCGAAAGACCTTTCCAATGAGCCCTTTTACGACCCCTCATCTCTATGGAGGCAAGGATGGTTCACAAACCCTAGCTAACTCGTCTATTCTGAAAACGTTCCACGGGATATCATAAGTATATTTGAGATATTCTCCGAACATTTAAAATACGTATTACGATATACTGTGGCATGTACTACGATATACTGTGGCACGTACTTAGATCGTTACCGCTCACTAACCTAATCCCTAGTATGTACTGGAGAATATCCCGCAGTATGGCCATAGGATGAAGATGGTTTAAGATTATATCATGTAGGGCATAAGGGTATCCCAGACAGCCATATAAATCGTGAAAATCTATAATATACGTGATATCTCTTACGGAAAATAAGTAAAAAAAATGAAAAAAATGAGAAAAAGTAATGAAACATTTTTTATCTTGTATTATTGCATGTTTTTAAAACGGTCATCCATCCTACTTGGGATCTTGCTCGATGCTGCTTAACTTTTATAATGGGATGAAACCTGTAACTGAAATAATGATATAAGTAAATACGGAATTTTGACATAAAATATAATTCGGTTAATGAATGTTGTCTACTATATTGTCATATAAATAGTCTTAATTTTAAAATCTCGATTGCATATATAATTCTTGTGAATAATTTAATTACATAGATTCGTAAACTTAAATTATGTTTAATAAGAGTCATTTTTATTATGAAAATTGTTTATAAATTGTTGAATATATTTTGTTTATTTGTTTATAAATTTATCAATAATTGTATTATGGTGGCGTGTCACCAATGTGGCGTTTGTCGCCTATGCGGGTTGTCACCCGATGTGTGTTGTCGATGTGGTTGATTGTGATGGTAGTTGTGATGTCTGAACGGATTTGACGAAACCATCTCGTTGTACCTTCCTGCACGCCCCGTCAGTCCACGCTCAGGCGAAGCAGAAAATGGTGGCGGGTTCGAGAGGAAAATGAAGGTTGTCGTGCAGGTTCCCAAGATTTAAATGAGGCGATCTTTAAATGTTCATTGTATATTTTCTACGTTCTAAAACTACAAAAAAGAATGGAGATATCATGGGCGTGACGCGGGGGTTTGCGTGCCTCGTGTGTTTGGCATGCGGCCTGATGTGGCGGAATCGCGTGGCTCTTCGCGCTGTGCTCGCCTTTCGCGAGCACCAGCCCCGCCGTGGTGCGTGGTCCTGGCGCGAGTCGTCAGCAAGCCTCC